ACAAGGCCACACCTTCTAATGATGCCACTTTCTGTGGGCCTATGCGGTCGTTTTTATTCAAACCACCACAGCATATTTAGAGAAAGGACCTTTGGGAAGGTGACTGAGGGTAATGGTGGTCAGAGGAGGATGGCTATAATCTCTAGCGAAGAAGAAGAGGCCAGTGACCTCTCTTATGGAGTAACTGTGACTCACATATCCCACAGTGGAGCTCATGAAGACGCATACACAAGAGAATTGCTTAGAGGTTACAGCGAGAGAGAAACGGTGAGGAGATGGCCATGCCACTTGGCTCTGTGCATGTGCTGGCCTTGTCACGCAGACCCCGTTAATGTGAAAAAATAATACAGGTCAACTAGAAACACAAGATAATTTGACTGAGGCGATGACTCAGTCAGTGAAGGGCTTACTGTGCAAGCATGAGCCCCTGAGTCTGATGCCCAGAAAAAGCCCTGTGTGGTGGCGCTTACAATCCCAGCGCTGGGGAGACACAGACAAGTAGATCTGGGGAATTCACTGGCTAGCCAGTCTAGCCTATGGGGGCAGCTTCAGCCTAGTGAGAGACCCTGCTTCAACAAACAAAAGAGGCACAGATGGTGAGGATTCTCCAAAGTTCATCATGAGCCTCCACACGGGTATTCACACAAGTGTGCACACATGAATATGTACAGATGTGTGGGCAGCATGCAATATATATATAAAGTTTTTAAATCTCCACATCATGAAGCTCTTAAGACTCATTCTGGTCATTACCTTTCGGGTCCGGTCAATCTTTGACCTCTGCCTCCTTCCAGTCCCTTAGATTCTGGGTTTAGGTACAGCATTTTCCAGCCTCTTATGGCTCATGATAATCTTACAAATCATGTCCCTTAATGTTTCTCATGGTACGAGATGAAGTAAGTTTAAAAGGGTTTTACAATTTTAGATCAATGCGTGATTTGAGATCATATTACAAAATTCATAGCATAATCATTTAAAATATCTATTCTATCTCTAAAAGGCTTTGTCTTTCCCTCATTATTTTATGTGACATATACTGCTTGATTTACTTTAATTATGTAAGACAAAAAGAAGGGTTTAGTAATAAATTTCAAAATGATACTGACTGTGATGTGGGAACTGATGTACGTTAAAGTATAGATTAAACTTTAATGGCATGTGATATCATCGGGTTCTGGCTGCTTGAATAGCTAGTATTTAGAATCCCTGCATCCTGACACTTAGGGAAAAAAAGTGCTTCATTTTATAATTGTTAAATTCTCATGGCTGCTATTTTACAAGTTCTTTCCAAATAACACACTCTTATAAGATGAAAGCCAACTAGATATGATTAATACTGTATTTCTCTCTGTTTCTGTTTCTAAGCATTAGAGACCTCTAGGAGCAGAATAAGAACTTT